AGATTAATCTGGACTCACCATCCCTCAAGCATAAAAGCATTTTATTTGTGTGCTGACAAGGGGGATAACATTTATGGATTTTGCTCTGTTGCCCATCCTATTATCTGAACAAAAGTTCCTTCTCTGTTGGTCTTATGGGAGAAATACAGTAGAACAAAGAGGTTGGGAGGACAGGATGATGAAAAGGAAAGGAAGGGAAGATGGTCAGAGGGGGGCTGGAAGGTAGTGCCATGCCTACTGGGCAGGTGAAATGGGTGGGGACAGCAAATGACTGTAAGTTTTGATTATCTGAGTTCTGCTGTTCCAGAAAACCAGCAGCAGCATTCAGGGTCTTGTTAGAAATTCAGAACCTTGGCCCCAGCTCAGACCTACCCAATCGGAAATAATTTTCACAAGATCTCCAGGCAATTTTTAAGCACATTCAAATCCCAGGAACTCCTAGTTGCCCCCAACCTGTCTGAGCCAGTCCTGATCAGTGTCATCAGCCCTAGGCCTATGGATAGGTGAAACTGGTCTGGTTGCCTAGACACCTGCACATCTGGCCCTTGGTGCAGACTCCAAGTCTCAATGTCTGTCACCACTTTGGCCAAAGCTATGTGACTCCAGCTGGCCTCAGTTTCTCTGCTAAGCATAGCGGTTCTCTGCACAGGTTGGATCCTTGCCTTGGACCCCTGCTTCCTTGGCTCTGGTCCTGATGCTCTGCCAAACTCTTGCTCTCCTACTTCCCTTTACAAAGCAAGATGTGATTTCCTATTCTTTTCTCCGCTTCTGGCGGGGTAGGGGGGCCTGCTGTGAGTGGACTGAGCACTTAGAACTGAGGCTGATTGTGAATTTTATTACCTGGATCTCTTCCAGAGCTGTGTTCTGCTGGCAGATAGGACTCACTCAGATATCCAGAAAGCCTGGCCCCACCTGAGCTAGCCATGCCCTTTGACCACCACACACTGGCCTGCCTAGCTGCCTCCCGGGGGTGAGCCAGCTTCTGAAGACAGGCTCTGAACCCTCTGTCCCACTAGATCTTGGCTTCTTCCCCCTTCCCATGGCCTGTGTTGATGTGGTCCCAGGCTGCCCTGCACCCACACATCTCCTACAAAAGAGGAGGAGGCCGTAGAGACCCAGGAAAGCAGGCCTCAGTCCCTTCTCCCTTAACATCTATGCCTCCAAGACAACATGGGCCTGTTTCTGTGTGAACCTTGCAATTCCAAACACTGCCCTTGGAGCCCTTTAGGTGAAAGGTATTCTAAAAGTCCTAGAAAACTACTGAGTACACACAGACTCAGAGGCTTTGTGTAAGTACTAATTTTGGTCCTTTTTCCTAGATGAAGAAAAATCTTCTTGGTTACCTGACTTATTTTATAAAAACAGGCCAATCCATATAGAAGTTCAATAAGTAAGTTCTCTGGTTACCATACAGCTGGTTCCCTTGGACTGATGGTATATACCCCCTGCCATACTCAACTGATGGTAGACCATTATACAAAGTGTGTTGCACCTGCCATTGTGTTTTAAGCCAGCACAAAATGTCATGAAATTTGAAACAATCAGGTTGGCTGTCAGTTGTAAAGGTTAATTTTTAAATAAACATTACTCTCCCTTAATTCATAATAGAGCACTGACTGTATCTTTAACATGGTTGCATCGTCTATTCCGAAGGACTATTCCTATGGTGATTAAAAAAAAAAAGAAAAAGAAGGAAAAAAATGAAGAGAAAGATGTGTGACAGCACCCACAGAAGCTAAGTAATGGTGTGAGTGTTGTTTCCATTGTTTACACACATGACACTTTCACAGGAACCCAAACGACTTACAAAAGAAAATACAATACAAATGGCAATGAAGATGAAGTAACACAGAAAAGCATAAAGAAAAGAGTTACCCAAGGGAAGATTTAAATTGGGCATACATCATTTGCACAGAAAGAATGGATAAATGTCCGCTGACTCCATTCACACATACAAAGGTTGGAACGTTGTGCTGTTTGCCACATTCAGAAAAGAAGTCCTGTGTGAACCAGGTTAAAGTAGCGATAAGAAAAAATGTCTAAAAACATTTTAAATAACTACACGCTATGTCATGAAGTCACTCCAAGTGTCTAAGGTCGCACAACAACCTCACTGAATTAGCAGGAATAGATAAACACATGGTTTCCAAAAGCCATTCTTGGCCAAGCAAAATGATAGGTCCTAGGAGAAAGTTACTCAAGACTAGGAAGAGCAAATGGTTAGGAGATAGAACATATAATAGTTATTCACTGTACCTCTCTATAGGCTCACATTTCCCCAGGATAGACTTTTGTTGGTAAATCTTGAGGAACCTGTATTTGCAGTTTGTGTGAAGGACGGGTTTTGCTGGATATTGTGAAGGTTCCCCTTTAACTGCTTTTAGTAGGATGCCTGCTGTTAATGTCATTATTTGAACAAGGTTCCATCAAAACCTTTGAACTTTTAGAAAAAGAGAAACCCAGTGCAGGGGAAAGAATACTCCCAGCGAAAATTTCTAACATGTGGTAGAAGCTTAAAAATTGATAATTATGTAGAACAATGCATCAATATGTGTGCTATGATAACTTTAGTATGTATAGTTATAGTCAAATCATTCAAAATTACAATGTCATTTCTCTTCCTTGTATCTCTTTGTTTTCACGAGTCACATGGCAAAATCAGCTGTGGAAAAGCATCGCTCACTCATCTCCAGGGTAGCTATTATTAGCTCGCTTTGATTCTCTCATGTGATATATACCCATGCTTCTTAAGCTGTTTGTATGCCTTCTATTTCCCTATGAATATGACTCTTGCTATGCAGTGTTCTCCAGAGGTACCCATTTCCATAGCCCTTTCCAAAATTAATGTAATCTTCTATTTCTTAAAACATTATTTAGGAAAAAGCCATGCAACATCATATTTGCACTGATGTTGAACCTTTCTACAGAAAACATTATAGCACCTGTGCTAGATCATATAGCATCCCCCACCCCCAAATCTCTGTCTACCCAGAACCTGTAACAAGGTCTTACAGATGTGACCAAATTAAGATGATGTCGCACTGGAACAGGATGGGGCTTAAATCTCTGTAAGAAGACCACACAGAGACACAGACATATGGGAGTTCTTCTCGTGAAGACAGAGGCAGAATTTGAAGTGATGCGAAGATTGCCAGCAACCACCAGGAGCTAGAGGCTTAGGGAAGATTCTAGATGAGGGCCTTGGGAGGGATGTGTCCCTGTGACACCTTGATTTCAGACTTCTAGCCTCTAGAGCTGTGAGACATGTGAGATGTACATTTCTGTTGTTTAAACCACCTATTTGTGGCCTTTTGTTACAGTAGCCCTAGGAAGCTAATATAATGCCCAATCTCCAGATTATGAAACTAAGTACTTTAAATTACACAAAGAGTTGGCATTAACTTTCCCTTAGATGATGAAACCAGAAGAGGAAGAGGAAAGGGCTACCTCACAGCAACATGGTAAGTATGGGCCAAAGACCTGATTAGAAGCTGGTCATCCTAACACTGCAAGGCAGTAAAAGAATGAAGTTTCAGCTAAAGCACTAAGACATTAATACCACATTTTAAAGTGAGGTCTGAGACCCTCATCTTGTAAAACTTGCAAAGGAGGTTGTCAGAATCTGGTTGCATGGCCTTTTAACCCCTTACACAAATCAAAAGCACATTAAGAAAATGAGAACCCGAGATACGAGGAGAGGATTCTTTTGTACAGTCTGCGTTCTGGGTGTTCTCTTGCCTTCCTGAGCCTGACAGAAGCAAGGAAAGGGTGAGTGCGTCCCTTGGAGCAGACATGGCCACCCACAAGAGAAAGCAGGAATGGAGTGATTGTCTGTCCTTTCTAAGAGGACCGTCTGGATGGTGTCCAGTACTCAACAGAGAAATGCTGTTGCTGGTCAGAGGAAAGAGTGAGTGAGCGGCCATATTAAGATGTTCTCATCTGTCCTGATGGAAATGCAGGTGAGAGAAGCCCCACCATGGAGCTCCTCCAAAGGACTTGTCGGACACCAGTGAGAGAGGCCACTTCGAATGCTTGTCAAGGCCAGAGAACTCTGATACTGGATCTTCACAAGACTGCCATACGAGTAAGAGATTCCTGCTCCCCCTTCCTCATCTTCCTCCCACTACCCCGACCTGAGAGGAGTGTTCAATCTCCCTTAGGAAGCTGGGAGGGGCAGGATGGGGAAAAGAGGAAGACCACGGGCTGCTCTCCTAACCCAGTGCAGCCTTTCATGGGAGATGAGCTGAGGACAGGAGAAGCTTCAGGGCAAAACAAAATTGACATTTTTACTGTGACAGAAATCTAGACATGTTAATGACTGACTAAAGGCCAAAGGATGTTTTACTACCTGGAAGTGGCCAGAAGAATAAAAATTTGCTTTAACTTTCATCCAAGAGCAGAGAAAGTGTGAAGTAACAGAGTTATGTGGAATAAATCTGAAGTGTTGCTTTACGATTGATTACATCCTATGAGTCATGCTTATTCAATGTAATGGTTACATAACTGTTTCTAAATGCAACTGTACAGAGCAATTCTTAGCACCTTCTATATAGTTTTCCCCTAGGAAGTCACTGCGTTTCTGTCTGAACTTTGGAAAATTATATGTCAAATGGTCCTCCCAGAGAATTTTGATCTTTTTACTTGCTGTTTATCACCATCTTGTGAAATGTCTAAACCAAAAAGTGTTATATACTTGGTACACACTAGCTGCTCAATAACATTGAATTAATAAAGAGATGGAGGGGCAGTGAAGAGAAATCCTGAATGCCTATGCTCTTTATATTTCTATATTTTTATCCCCAAATTCTTTTCTGGTGAGAAAAGAGTAAGAAATATTCCAAGTTCATGATTTCTGAAAAATTCCAAACAGAAATGTATGGTCTCGTTACATGGCTTTATAAAGCCTTAGCATTAGAAGGAAACTTAGTAGGGGTTTTACTTCAACCCGTTCATTTTACCAGGGAAGGTTTAAAGAGGAGACATAATTTGATTAAAGTCACCTTTTTCAACCATGGCAGCGCTAGGCCTGGAAGCTCTTGCAGCTGACTCACTGATGTGACAGTCTTCAGGTTCTGGGCTTCCTGCTCCCTTGACTTTCAGTGTGTGTGGAGAATATCTTCGGAAAGTAGGGCTTGGCAAAGACCTCTTAGACTTGACACTGAAAGCATAATCCACAAAAGGATAAATTGGTAAATTAGACTTCATAGAAATGAAAAGCTTTTGCTCTGTGAAAGACCCTGTTAGGAGAATGAAAATGAAGACAAGGTACAGGCAGAGAGAACACATTTGCAAGCCACATGTCCAACAAAAGACTAGTATCTAGAATATATAAAGAACACTGAAAACTCAGCAGGAAAAAGACCAATCCAATGACAAAAAGCATGGACAGACATTTCACCAGAGGATATACAGATGGCAAATAAGCACGTAAAAAAATATGTCCAACGTCATTAGCCATTAGGAAAAGACAAAATAAAACATGGAATATCACTGCCCATGTATCAGAATGACTAAAAGGAAAAGTACTGACATCATCGAATGCTGGTGAGGATATGGAGAAATTAGATCACTCATACATTACTGGTAAGGACGTAATCCTAAATAGTACAGCCACCCTGGAAGACAGTTTGCAGTGGCCGTTAAAAATCAGTATGTGTTACCCTGAGACTCAGGTATTGCACTCTTGTTGCAATTCATCCCAGAACTATGAAAACTTAACCTTTACACAAAAACCTTGTACACAAATTTTACAGTAACCTCGTTTGCAATAGCCCCAAATTGAATACAACATGGATGTCCTTTAAAGGGTGAATGGTTAAACAAAGTGTGCCACAGCCATAGTAAGGAATACCACTCAGCAAGAAGAATGAACAATTGATGCAGAAACAACTGGATGAATGTCCAGAGAATCACATGGGGTTAAAAAAGCCAGTCCCAAAAGGGTACATACTACATGATTCCATTTTATAACGTACTTAAAATGACAGAATTATAGAAATGGAGAACCAAAAGTAGCTTCTAGGGTCATGGAGGGGATAGAGGTGGGAGAGAAGCTGGGGTGGCTGTACAAGGATGACCTGAGGCATCCCTGTGGTGATGGAAACATTCTGTACCATGAGTGTGTCAAGGTTAACATCCTGGTTGTGGTAGGGCACTATTGTTTTGCAAGATGTTGCAGGTGGAATGACCTGGGTACTTTGTATTTACCCAGTTAAACACTGGGATCTTTGTATTATTTCTTACAAGTGCAAATGTATCTACTGTTAACTCCAAATAAAAAGTCTAATTTAAAAAAAATTAAGGTGCTGGTTAGATTACCCCACCATATACCAAATCACCAGGACTTTGGCAGGATTTGAGGTGGAGTCAGGACACTGCCTAGGGGTCAGCTGTTACACACCTTTGTTAACCACCTCCAAGCCATCACTGTTTCCCAAACAGGGCACCAAGATCAAGGCTGGAGTTCTCTGAAAGGCAGGCAGTCACCTTAATGCTCTGCTCTCGGGAAACATCTCCCAGTCCTAAGGTCCTTTGTATTCTCCATATTTTCTAGATGTTGCAAAGGCCCCAGTGGTCTAAGTTTGGGATAAGGAGGCCATTATGGCTGAAGATTTCAGCCACGGGTCACATCCTCCAGTGGTAGGGGCCAGCACATCACCTCCAGAAGCCAGACTGGACAAGCCGCCCCTTCATGGTCACCAGTGTGTGGAGCAGACCAGTTCTGCCGGGTTCCAGCAAGAGTCCACCAGACCCTTCTTTTCTGCCATGAGAACCTGGCATGTCTCCTATGTGACTGAGTATTTACTTAGAGTCTGAGTCAGCTCACCCTGATAGGAAGTTGACATTTGAATTGACAGTGTTTAAACTTCAAGGCAACTGAACTGGAAGAGATGGAGACATTCTTATTTGAGAAGCCTAGGTAGTCCCCATTGACCAGCGGTAAGGGATAGTGGCTCATGAAGTCACTTGCAAGGAAACAAAGAAGCTTCCTGTCCTATGCACATTTTAGTGAAGAATGATCTACCACACCCACGACACCCTACAGCATTCCTAACTTCACCTGCCACCATGAACGTCCCGTTTTCCAATCTCAGTATCTTCATCTTGCCGCCCCCCTGTCAGGGGAGAAAAAGCACTGAATGGGCAGAGTTCTTCCACTGCTACTTAGCACCCTGAGCAGGCCTGGGCCTCAGCTTTCATTTTGTAAAATGACTGACAGGTATTTGAAAAAATCTCTAAGAGTTTTTCTAGGTCTTACAACTTATGACCCTGTATAAAATCCTTATCTTCTCATGCTGCCTTGCAAGTTGGCACTGTAGTAAGGTAAAAACAAAGTATATTCAGCCAGAATAGATCTTAGAGGAGGCAAAAATAAAGTCTTGATTAAAGAAAATAAAACATCAATTGGTCATTTTGTTGGGAAAAGTAAGCCCCAATCCACAGTTTATAGGAAGAATGCAGACTAAAATATAGGGTGAATTACTGTGTTTAGGAAATTGAAAGGAATTTGGGGTATTTCTTTTTACTCCCTTTCCCTCCCCCTACCTCCCCTCTAAAGAAGAGAGGAAACAAAGGGGAGAATGAGTGAGCAAAAAGGCAGGGATGTTTAAAAAGAAGGATGGCTGATGTTCAGTTTTAAGATGTGCACATTAGGAGGCTGTACACCCTGTCTTTCCAACACTTTCTCTAATAAACACATCTCAGAAAGTCTTCATGTAAGCAGCTTTTAGTGGAAATCAAGAAAGCAGGTGGAGCTCCAGGGGAGGGAATAAATGAAGGTGAAAAATGCAGTGCAGAGGAGATAATGAGAACACAGAGAGGAGGGCACTGGGTTTTCCAGGGCCTGCAGTGGGCATTCAGGCCAGTCTGATCTCGATCTGATGGCAGGGAGAGCCCGGCTGACATCAGGCTTACTTACCTGTTCCCCCTTTACCATCTTCTTTGCAGAACCTTTTCTAATAGTCATCTCTCCATGTTTTTACCAACTTCTGTAAAACATTTACCCTACTCTGCCCTGATTTATAGTCATTTGTGTATCTGCTTTATGTGGCCTAGTGTGTTGCACACTCTTTAGGGACTCTAATCTCAGAGTGCTAAAGATAGTAAGAGCTCAATAGAAATTTGTTGAATGGAATTTGCTTCTTGACCTTCCTCTCTTTTTCTCCTGGGAGTTTTTAGTGGGAATGAGTCACACTGTTGAGATGCAGCAAATAACAATAATGACAGTGACTATAAACTATTTCTTATTTTAGAAAAAAATTTCTGGAGTGCTCGGAAGTAGGAAATCATATATATATATATGTGTGACTGGGGTGGGGTCAGGAAGTGACCCTTCGTATTGAATCACTAGTCCTTCAGCTGCATTTGCAATTGACAAAGATCCACATGAGAGGTACATTCACCCCCATATAAAACTGTACGGATATTTCAGAGAAAACTGCAGGAACAAACTATAACCTCATGACTTCTATTATTTTGTAATAAAGGGCTGAAAGCCCAATATGAGCTTTTTTTTCAGATGCTAGGCTCTGTGTGCGTAGTGTGTTGTTAATTTCATGTGAGTGCAGGATGCCAGAAGAGCTCAGCACAGAATCTAAAGAAGAAAATCTCTTTCCTGTAGCTCTAATACCTGGTGACCAGGCTTTAGCTTATTTTTTTATTTTCTCCTAGATGACATCAACAACCTCCCCACACTGATGGCAGTAAAGACCTTTGCAACACCTAGACCAGTTCTTCCCACGGACAATCATGGAATTAAAGAGAATTCCTTGCTAAACTCTGTTACCAGCAAATATGAAGTCTCTAATAAGCATTAACTGATATTTGCTCTCCACTACCTGTTTGTCTTTGTACATGAGACCTCGCAGCATTGTTTTCCCTGTTTCTGTGTTTTGGGCATAGCTTCCTACCTTCCCTTATGCACGTTTCTGGGAGCTAGATATCAGGAGATATTGTCTTTGTACACCCCAGTGAAAATTTGACAACACTACATTATCTGCCTACTAATGAGCTTCCTTGTATGGAAGATGATAAAGCAAAATCTAATCATAGTCATTTCCCCATACATGTTTCAGGGTTTGCTCGCCTATTTCTTTGGAAGGCTCCACAAAATTTGCACCCCAGATATTAAATCAGAATGCTTTTCTTCCTGGTTCTGGTGGTGCGTGTGCACTGAAGCCTTCGTCTAGAGCCGATGTGGTCTTCCTTCCGAAGTCCTGCTCTTTCCCAATCAATGCAATCTCTAATGACAAAAAAAGAAATGTTTTTCCGTGTCTGTTTACCAGCACTTCCTTTTACTACCAGTTAATTCAATGTGGTTCTTTAAGTGGGCAAGGTGTAGGACAAAGAAAGAGCAAAAGGGAGGGGGAGCCAGCGAGCAGGCCAGACTCCCTGGACACCAGAGGGTCTGCAGCAGGCCAGGCCATTTGTAAACCTCAGGCCCAGTCATCCTTCCTCTGGAGGAAGGATAAAACGTTGAAAATGTCAGGACAGTTGGAAAGATAGAAACTGAGGAATTTCCAGCTGTAGGTGGGGGGTCTCTTCATCAGGCTGAGGATGGGTACACCATGTGAGCAGCTCAAGCACCCTAAGTCTTGTCCAGAGAGCCAAGCCTTCACCTTCCCTTCTTCCCCTCCTTTCTGTCATCATTACTCTGTGACTCATCCAGTGAAAACTGAAGCAGCTCTTCTAAATACAAACATATACAGAACTTCATGGAGGAAGGGGGAAGACGTGGCACTATAGCGAACAGCCTCCAAGAGGCTTTTAGGGCTGCTAAACTCTTTTGAGTGACACCTGCATCCAGATGTTTAACAAGTTAATGAATATTAATTAGTTAAAATGACAGAGAACTTCTCAAAGCCTGCAACATTTTGCGTGGCCTGTACAATTAAAACAGAAGCCACTTTGAGCTCTTTATGGAAAAAAATATGGACATGTCTACTCCACCACATTACCTTCTCCATCCTGTCTGGCTAAGCTGCCCCACAGCCTGTCACTTACATGACTGCCCTTCAGCTCAGGACGCTCACACACACATGGCCTCTTCCACCGTGGGCTCTTCTCTTTCTCAGCACTTGGCTCTGCTCTTGCATCCAAAAGGCCATTCTCAGCCTAGGGCTTGGTCCTCCCTCACTGGCTGTCCCACCAGAGGGGTTTGGGTCTTTTTTGCCTAGTGGCCATCAAGTTTTGGGCATAACAACCTCCACTCAGCTTTTCAAATTAAAACCCTCTGCCAGTGTGAAGCTTATGTGAGTGATCCTGCTGATATGAAATTGTCAGCTCCACTCTAGCCTCTATTCTTACATCTGTCGGCCAGCAGGCCCCAGGGAGTTAGACTGAATAAAGAGAGGATGATTTGCCAAAGATGATGTAAGGATCTGGATTGGCCCATATAATAAGCACAGCCAGTGCCTGTTGTGTGTCGAACTCATGTTCTAATTCTATCCCTTTCTCCCTCTTTCTTCTCATTTCCCCCACGTACTTTGTCCACTGTTCCATGCATAGTGCATGGAAGAGATTCCATATGCCTCAGGATAGGTAAAAATGTGCTTATCTCTCCCTATTTTAAAACCCTTATAGCACACTTTTGTCAACATTTACCCATGTGCGACCAACTGTGAATTTACATTAGGAACCACCTATAGTATTTCAGGGTGAGAATTCCATATTTAACATTTTGCTAGGTCTTTCCTTCAGGATAGTTTCTCTAGTTCTCAGTTGATTGTGTTCCATAAACCAACGTCAGAAAAGACCATGCTGGGCTGAAGCTGAAGGTGGAGAGAGTCCTTGGCAATGAGAGGACTCAGGGTGGAAAATCATGGCAAAAAAAAAATGTTGTATGGCTTTAAATAAACAAGAAGAGAGGCAGTCAGAGCAGCAGGTCACAATTGTTATAAGTATATAACTTTAAATGGTGATGTCAGATAAATGCTGAATATTCCACTTTAGGTTCAAATAGAGGAGTTAAAGTAAAATTGCCTTCTTCCTTCATATTTGATAACAGCCCAAGGTGATTCAACAAAGATAAATTATCATGCTGTCGGTTTCTGGAGGGAAAAGTGGACAAACCAGCTCCTAGTCTCTCTTCCTATGTGTATAAATGAGCACTTCATCTTAAGAAGAGTTTTATCAAATGGTAAACACTTGGAATTTACTTATTCTGAATTCCAGGCAGCTGCTCTGGAAAATAAGTCGTTTTTAAGCTGATTTACAGTGCAGATAATTTCCCTAGATTCAAAACTGGCTTCGTTTTTTAGAAGGCAGTCCTGAAGGTAGGAAAACACCAGGAGTCATCTAGAGTCATCACTTCAAGTGGTGGAGGTGATGTAATGCTCACATTTCCGTCCCCTTCCCCCTGGTTTCTCCCTTTCCCACTCCCCAAAGACATCCATTTGGTTGTAAAAGCCAGATATTCAGAGAAAAATGAACCTGGAAGGAAGGGATGTTTAGCCAAGCTCTAGGTAGGGACGCAGCCACAGGCCTCAGGAGGGCCCCGATCTGTGATTCAACCTCCAGTTCGCCTGCTCCTCCGGCTTTACCCTGGAAAGAGCGCTCCTGGCAGGCTGAGACCTCCTCGGCCTGCATCTCCCGCTGCTGTTGATTACTACTTCAGCAGTTTGCAGCAGGAGACAGGCAGAGAGCCCTACTCTGACTGGCTGCCTTTGTCTGATGTAACAGGAGGCCCAGCCAATCAATACCCTGCACTCCAAAAGCACAAAAATGAATTGTAACAGCCAAGGCCCTGGGAATTAGGAAAATTAAAAAAAAAAAAAGAGTTCACTTCCACTGCCCTCCCCAAAACCAAACAAAACCATATACACACGGCATCATGTAGGGGTCCCCAGGGAGTCTGCTCCCTTCTTCCAGAAGCCTCTAGGCAGGCCTGTTTGCACCCAATTCCTTGGCACTCCGCCGAGTTCACACCATTTTCAAAGTAGGTCATTTCAAGTCTTCTCTGCAGAGGAGGGCTACGCTGTCAGCAACAGCCCACGGGGCCTGCGGGGAGGCCCAGCCCCTGCAGCTGAGGGCTGGGGCACAACGCGGGGCTGCCCCGCGGGAGGGCCACTGCAAGGAGCTCGCTCACCGTCCTCAAACAGCCGCGAGACAGGCTTGCTTTTAAGCAAATCCACTCTCTCAGCCGTTCACAACCCAGTCAGGGACTAACTATTCAGGATGAAGCTCCAGCACGACTTAAGTGTTAACCTGAATGAAAACTCACTATAAGAAGGATGATGTCATCTTGATTCAGCTCTTTGTTCTTCGTGCTGGGAAAACTCATTGTTATTTATGAGGCTAGTGAGTTATTTCTAAGAAGACATGCTGGTACCCCGCAGGAGAAGGCAAGTAAAAATAGATGCATGCAAAATTTTCCTAAGTAACATACTGGGGAATATGCATTCAAAACAAATACATGTATCATTAAAAACATAAACCTTTTGTCCTTAAACATGTTAACTCTACTTTCTTGGATCAATGACATGCACAGACAGGTGTCAAGTAATGTTTGAAAAGTCTGTGTTGTCTTTAAACATGATCTAACTGCAGTAGCATTTAGAAGTAACCTTTGCTATGCTGTTTCCGCAGCTTACAATGCCCTCCCTCTCCTCTTCTGGCAAAACCTACAGGCCTTTAAGCCCCCTCTTCAATTTTCCTTCTTTAGGAAATCTCTGGCTCCTGATCCTCACTGATGATTTCTCTTCCTTCAGAACCCCTGTAGCAATCAAAGCAGCCAAGAGCTCACACCAAGGAATAGCTTATGTAGGATATGGCTGCTCTCTAATTGTTTATTACACAGTAACTCCTGGAAAGCAGGGGCTAGGGTCTGGTATTTCAGGTGTACATCATACACACTTGGCACACACATTGCTGTAAGGAATAAAGGAAGAAATGAAAGGGAGAAGGAAGAAAACGACATTTATTGAATGCCCAGTAGGTATGAGCTACTGCACCAAGGTTTCTATTGATCTTTTCTTGTTTTTCATTTAAAACTCCTAACAGCCTAACCGTGGAAGATTTGCTCCCCATCATTTTAAAGATAAGGACGCAGAGGCTCAGAACAGTTACGTAACTTACCCAAGCTCAAGCAGCCAATAAGAGAAACCAAGACTCAAACAGCTGCCTGACTCTTCTCTTTCTGCTGCTCCCTGAGTCTCAGTCTTGGCGGGTCGGCTTTTAGAAACTTCAGACTCCTAGGCCCCTCCCCTGAAGATTCTGAGTCAGCTTTCTAAACCTAGGAGAGCAGAGGCTGTTTATTTCCTTATCTGCTATGTCGCCAACAATGTCTTGCTGATGGCAGCCGTCCTTACGTATTTGTTAAATGAATAAGTGAATTCAGTCCATCCAGAGCAGTGGTGCTCAGGTCTGGCTGTGTTTTGGAATCACGGGCAGAAGTGATTAAACACTGCCTCTCTCTAGGCCCTGCCCCCAGAGATTCCAATACAATTGGTCTAGGGCGGGGGCACCTGGCAGGCAGCCTAGGTCTCAAAAACTCCCCAGGCAATTCACCCATGCAGCTCAGGCTGAGAATCATTGGTCTAGAGTGAGGTCGCGGCATCTGCAGATTTTTTAAAGCACCACAGGTAATTTTGATTTGCAGCCGGGGCTGAGAACTGCCGCCTACACACTATGCTGCCTCTCTCTGGGTTTTATAAATGGGAAAGCATTACTTTCTAAAAATAATTCTGTCAACAAGTATGGGCGTGCTAACCCATGCACAGCAGTGTACCCCTTTCGGGCCTGCTGTCCCCTGATTTCTAATCTCTCACCCGTTTAGTGCTAACTTGTTCTTTGATTTTTGTATGTCCTGGACCAGGTGGAGAATGATTTCTGAGACTGACAGATTAGGAGTCTTATTTTGCTGCTAGAAGAAAAGAAAAGAAAAGAGTATCTTACGTACTGAGTTGTGGCATAACTTTTAGCATTCGTGAGCTTCAGTGATGAATTTGTGTGAATGTTCAAATGCTAATGTGCGTATTTTCACCTATGAATATGTGGGGGGAGAATGGGGAAGGGAAAAATATTAAAATGCTCAGCTTTCTGCAAGTTAAGAGATGGGCAAAAGAAGAAAAAGATCATGCTTGCCCACTGAAGCCCAGACTTGTCTGGTAGAGCCCCAAATCATCTGGAAATGAAGGAATTTAAGGTGCCATGTGTTTACATGTTGTTAGCTTTAAACATTTCTTAAAATGGACTATCCAGAACATATCAGAATACAATTTAATACTGGGGAGAGATCTTATTACCTGGTGTAAAAAGTCCAACTGAAATCTGATGCATGAAACATTTCTGTGATAGTCATATCTTCATTCTATAATTCTCACTAGTGCATAAACAACAGCTACTGTTAAGAATCAAGGATGGGAACATTTTAAAAGAGATTTTACAGTCGGGGAAAACATTTTTACATGCACCATGAAATTTGGATGCAATTAATAATAGGTGACATTTATTGAGCACTTAACTCTGTGCCTGGCAGCCTTCAGAATGCTTTTCATGTATTCTCACTGAATATCACAACAAAGAGATGACCCAGGTACTATTATAATCTCCTTTCACAGATACGAAAACTGAGGAACGGAGGGGCCAAGTAAATTGCTCAAGGACCCACGGCTAATAAGTAGTAAGTGAATTCTAATGTCAGAGCTGATTGGTTTTAACCAGCATATGTGAGAAATAATTATCTTTTCTATGCTGTTATTAGTTTGTTACAAGGAATTGCATCTTTTTCATTTCATGTGACCCTGACAATATGGTAATCAGAGAACATGGATTTCTGGAAAGCAAGCACCTACGTATTTCTTCATCCCAAATTTAATTCTATAGACCGTCCTTTCATTTCTACTACTAAACACAATTTGTAAAACCCATTTCTCACAGAATTGACATGCAGTTCAACAAATATGTTAAGCACCAATTCTGTGTAAGGTTACCCATGGAGGATATGAAAACGAGCAAAACACAGCCCATGTCTTTAAGAATATTTTAGAAATGCAGGCAGATCCTGGATCCCTATGTATATCCTTCTGTCACTTTTTTCTCTTTATGTGGGTTCCAAATTCCCAACCTAGCTTTAGAGACCTAGCGTGATTTGATCCCACTCCATTTTGAAGTTCCATGTCCTGTCCCTCTCCCTTGTGGGGTGAATTTCAACCAGAATGGGCTTCTCTTGGACTCTTTAATGCTCTGTGTCCCATCTAATGTGGTGGCCTCCGCATGTAGTGTTCCCACCATCTCACATGTGTCCCTTTCTGCCCACTTCTGCCACTGAAACGCCTCTGCATCCTGCAGCTCTCTGCTCAGATATCACTATCTCAGGAAAGCCCTCCCTGATGGGGACTCAAACCCCATCTGCTGAAATCTCTTAGAGCTTCCTCTACTTTTGATCTGTAGGACTTAAGCACTGTCTGCGATATGTGTTGTGTTGTCATTTGTTGAGTGTCTGTCTCCCACCTGCTTGTAAAGTCCCATGAAGAGAGAGGGGAGAGTACATATTACTCTATGCTCTGCATCTAGCACCCTGTGTTATACCACATGGTAGAATCCAAATATTTGTTCTAAGAGAAATTCTTCCATTTCATGTCATCTTTCTCTTTGTCTCAGGGGTGGTAAAGGCTCTGTTGTAACGGGTCCCAGGGTTCCTCACTGTACCCCGTGTTCTTCTTCCAAAACCTTCTTCACACCTCCTCAAATTATCCTAAAGTTCGAGTGTTACCTGTTTCCTGCTGGGACCTGACTGACACAGGTAAGAATTAGATGGGGGTAAAGAAATTAGTGGTTCAGATAAATGTGTAGAGGGAATTGAATAATTTTAAAAACCATTTTAATATTTTCATCTACATTTCTGAACACCAGAGTAGCTAAGCACTTACCTGAAAATTAAATGTATATTTGAAGAGTGAAGGCAGTTTATAGTGTACTGGGGAATAAAAAGCACAATTTGGTTCTTGTAAGTTAAACTAAAACAGGGGATGGAGATCCAAGTACCCAACTGTGTCTCAGTGGCTACTGGGAAGCCAGGCCAGTTGGCCAGGGAGCGGGAGGGGGATGCTTTTAAAAATTGTAAAGTAGATAAAACTGTTTGTTGTTGTTATTATTGTTTTTGCTTAAGACCAAATTTTATTCTTTCACAGTTCTTGGAGGCTAGAGATCTGAAATCAAGGTGTTGGCGGGGCCCTGCTCCCTCTGAAGACTCGAGGGGAGAATCCTCCCTTGTCACTTCCAGCCTCTGGTGGTTGCAGGAGATCCTGGGCTGGTAGGCTCCTCATTCCAGGTTCTACAATGACCTTATTCCCCAGTCAGGTCATTTACAGGTACGTACTGGGGTTAGGACTTGAACATATCTTTTTGGGGGACACGGTTCAACCCATGACACTTGTTATGTGTATCAGACAAACTTGTTTTTCCTCTTTCTCTTTCTCCTACTTTATTTTAAAAGTGTTGCTGTCTGTTTGAGTCTTTTCTCTCTTTTTTATCAGTCTAGCTACAGGTCTGCCAGGTGGCTGTTAATTTTATGCTTTAGTCTTTAGATTACTGAATATCCAGGTAGGATTGTGGTTGAACTAGAAGTGGGATTATCATCTCCAAGATGTGGCTATGATAACCATAGGATTCATGCCAATTTTTTGTAGGAAGAAGAGGAAGGCATCTTCACTTCCACAGGGACAGCTACCTGCTGTCAGACCCTTGATGTTGCTTCTATTCTTCTTATATGGAAGTTTAAATTTGGTAGAATGGTGGGAATGCTGCTGAGTAGCCAAAAGGGCAGACTCTTCTGGTTATTTGTGGGAGACTAATGGAAGAGTGACTAAAGATAGAAGCCCTTTCTTGTTTCCTGCTTCTTATGGGGCTTCCAGAAGCTTCTGCATTCCTACTCAGGTAGGGCAGTTCCTATAACTGCAGTGCAGGGGGCCCTGCCTCCGTGGAGCTCTGACTTTGTCAGTGATGGTTACAATGGTTGGTGACTTCAGGTTCCTGAAACTTTGGTGTAAGTATGGGCTCCTGGCTTGCTTCCTTTATTCCTCCTCAACCTTCTTTCTTCTTTATGTAGATCTGATGTTCTGACCTATATCATTTTCATTCTTTCTGAAGAATTTCTTTGTACATTTCTTGCAAGGTAGGTCTCCTTGTGACGAATTTTCTTCATTTTTGTTTGTCTGAGAAAATCTTTACTTCTTCACTTTTGAAGGATCATTTCACTGGATACAGAATTCTAGGTCGGTGGATTTTTCTCTCAACACTTTAAATATTTCACTCCACTCTTCTTTTGCATGGTTCCTGAAAAGAAGTCTGATATGATTCCTGTCCTCGTTTATCTGTGGGTAAGGTGGGTCTTGTGTTAATTGTCTTTGATTTTCTGCAGTTTTAATATGACGTGTTTCGGTATAGATTCTTAAATATTTATCTTGCTTGGTATTCTCTTGCTGGATCTGTGGTTTAGTGTCTGTTATTAATTCTGGAAAATTCTCACCCATTATTACTTCAAATATTTCTTCTCTTACTTGCTTTCTTCTCTTTCTGGTATTCCCTTTATGTGTATGTTACACTTTTTGTAATTATCCCACAATTCTTGGATAGTCTATTTTGTCCTTTATATTCTTTTCTTCTCTTTGCATTTCAGATTTGGATGTTTTTATTAACATATCTTCAAGCTCACTGATTCTTTGCTTGGCCATGTCCAGTTTACTGATGAGCCTGTAAGACATTCTTTATTTTTGTTATGGCGTTTCTAGAATTTCCTTTTGATTCTTTCTTAGAGTTTCAAATCTCACTTGCTTATATTACCCATCTTTTTTTCATGTTGTCTCCTTTTCCCATTATAACCTTTAGCATATTAATCATGGTTATTTTTAAATTCCCTGATAACTCTGATAAAGTTCTGGTAATTCTCAAATATCTGCTATATCTTAGCCTGGTTCTGATGCTTGCTTTGTCTCTGCAGACCACGTGTTTTTGCTTTTTACTATGTCTTGCAATTATTTATAGAAAGCTGGACATGATATATGGGGTAAAGGGAATTGAGATAGGTAGGCTTTTATCATGAGCTTTTGTGTTTATCTAGCTAGGCAGCTGGACCATGTTTATTTGCTGTAGCTGTGGCATCAGAGGCTAACATTTCCTTTGATGTCCTTAGTTTTGTCTCCCCTGTAGTCTTTGGGTTTACCTAAAGACTCCTTAAATAGGGACCGAGGTTTGCAGTTCTTTTAGTTATAATCCCGTTATTGTACAGGAGCCCTAATCGATATGGAAGTAAGGTATGGGGAAGGGAAAGTGTTCTATAGTCTATTATCAGGTCTTAGTCTTCTAATGAGCCTGTGGTGGGTATTTCCCCTCCCCTATGCCAAAGGCTAGAGCAGGCTGGAGTTGGGTATTTCCCATTCTGTGGGTTGGTTATGTTCTGGTAAACCCCAGTCCACTACACTTGGTTGAACAGTTTCTCTGGAGCACAGTCTTTACAACAGAACAGAATGCTCTGGGCATGTTTCAAGATGTTTACTTTCTCCTTCCCCTTGCCAGAAGCATGAGGGGATTTTTCATCTATTTTCACAGTGGGAGCTGGTAGGGCTTCTGGAGGTAAAACTCAGGAAAATAGGCTTCCTATTTTCTAAGGCTAGCTTCCTAGAAGTTTTTAACTCACAAGCTAGAATACACTGAGCCTCCAATAATTTGTCAGTTCCACTTTAACATGTTTCTACAGATGCTGGCTCCTGCTCTGAGCTTCTGCTCCATGTAAGCTGGGATTTTCAGTGTCTGCCAGTCTGTTTCTCCAGTTTAGGGGGCAGCAGTTTGCTCTGTGACCTCAGTTCTGTGGTGAATTTAAGAAAGGCCATTGAATGTTAGATTGTTCAGCATTTTTCTTGTTTTGAAGGTAAGGATGACAGCTTCCAAGCTCTTTACAAGTTGGACTGTAAACTGGAAGTTCAAATGTGACTTTTAAAGTTTATTTTAGAAAATCCAAAAACAACAGAAAATTGTTAAGTAGAAGATAAAAATCACCAATAATTCCACTACCTAGAGATAATCACTGTTGAACTATGGATATAAATTATTTCTAAGACTATAATATGTGTGTATGTATAATATATATAAAATAAATTTTAATAAAAGCATGCTGGGCTACACAGTTTCATAACCTTATTTGCCCACAAAATAATGTTATATATTTCCTGATGTCAAATATTCTTCCATTTAATTGTTTATTTATAGTAAATATTTCAAATTTGGTCATATGAGCATATAATTACTTATTTTGTTTATTTAATTGGGTATAACATAGCAAAAACATTGAGGTTATAAATTCTAGGATTAGATGGCCTAGCTCAAATTATAGTCCTTCCACATAATAACTATGTGATCTTGGGCAAGTTATTTAACCTCTCTATGCCTCAGTTTTCTCACCTGTTAAAAAGGAACAATAATCCTCATTGCTGTGAGGATTCTATAGGGTAATAAATTTTATTACAACAATCACTGAGAATATAATCATATATTTAAGCATTTGTTACATTTCAGCAAAATTAATTTTAAGATGATCTGTTTTGCATCTCATTTAGGTATAAAATGCAAACTATTTTAATGCATGCTACAATGTACTTGCTCCATAGTAATTTTCCTGGGGGGATGGAGGGCAGTATTAGTGAATGAAGTTGGTTTGCCAGCTTTGGTTGTTTCTCCTTCATTTTATAATACAAGGATAATAGCAACATCCTACACTACATGTACTGTCTTCTACTTATGAAAAAACTCAGTACTGAAGATTTGCTAACAAAAGATGTCAGAGGCCTATGAGGATATGTAGCTTCTACCTGGGAACATGAATTGTGTGATGGAGAAAGGCTGATTGTTTTACAGTTGGAATGCTAAACCTGAGATGAAACTCAAATTCTGTGTATTATCACTGCATGATTTTCACTCTAGTAACAATGTTACTGGAGGTTAACAATAATAAGGTTAATAATAATGCTTTATGCAAACTAACAAGCATGCAAAAAGCACTAAACAAACAGAAAAAAGGACACACACAAAGCAAACAAACAAAACCCTAAGCAAACAATAACTTCAACCTCCCTCAAAACCACTTTTTCTTAAAAGCTCATCATTTCTTTGGGTCATTTAAATTTTCATATGTCATTAATTTCTCACTGACATGTAAAGTCTAGAGACATTGGGAATCCTTTTGTTTGTGGGTTTTATTTATTGAGTCATTGTGATTATCCAAATGGGACTAAGCTGAAGTTCACTGAGCTCTTATAAGCACTGCTTTTCGATATAGTGCATGTTATCAGTGTCTACAAGCATAAAGACCACTGTCCACTGGGTCCCACTGATCTAGTAAAAAAAAGCCTGTCTTTTTCATGCCCCCCTTCCTTATCATCTCCTGCATCTGATTAGCTACCAGGTGCCTGTGATGTCTCCCAGGTCTACCCTTCCTAGTTACCATCATAGCATAGGCCCTCATTGTTTGCCACCTGGCCTATTGTAACAGTCTCCAGGCTATTCTTCTGGTCTCCAGATTTTCCCTGTTCAAAACCTTTCTTCATGACATTTTAGCCTCCCCAAAAACACGAAGCTGGTCACGTTACTCTTCTGATTAAAGACAAAGTTAAAATGCTTTTGCATATCATTCAAAGGCCACTCACATACTTACACACATTATCCAGCCACATCTTGTAGCAATTCTTCCCCTTCCCAACTCACCTTCCTCCCAATCCCCTGCTTCTCAGACCACCCTTCCTCATGCTTTAGCCCTACCATCTTTCATTTTCATCCTTCAAGGCCTGGTTCAGATGTCACCTCTTTGGGGAAACCTTCTTTCCCCTTTTCCTGTTGAGTCAGAGTTAATTGCTCCATCCTTTGTGCTTTCTCAGTGGGCTTCACATCAGTCTGTTCACTTGGTATCATATAGAGTAGGCATGCATGTGCTGTATCCCCTGCTGGGTCTGAGCTCTGAGATCAGGGACGATGCTGTTTCCATCTTTATAATTCCCCTTTATCTCCCAAACCCAGGTAAATAGTATGTGCTTAATAAAGCATAAACTGCTTGAACAATTAGCATTCATTCAAGTCCAATTCAGTATGCTGTATATTCTTGAAGGTAAACATAGAACTAATTTTGGAATTTAATATTTGTTGTCATCACTAAACTTCTGGAAGTTTCAGGGACTGAACATTGTGTTTCACTGGAGCAGGACCATCTGACTATTGTAGACTCTGGTCTGAACATGGCAATTCTTTTGCTTGAGGGCTACAGGTAGACACATTAAAGAAAGGAACACTGAGTTACAAGGGTCTCTGGAGGCAAGTTGGCTCATCCTGTCATTTACAGATAGGAAACTGAGACCTGGAGATGGTAATGGTCTTGGCCAAGGGAATGGAGGAGGGAAATGGAATAGAGATCTCATTTCAATTCAGAGTACTTTTAATTAAATAAAAGCTTTAAAAAACAAAAGCTGTGATTAAGACTTTTGCTAATTCAAACCAATGTTTCCCCAATTAAGCTGAATTAAGGAGCTGTAGTTATAGCTGATTTTTTTTGAATGTCTGCAATTTTTATTAGATAGAAAGTACTGACCCACAAATTTTCAGGTAAAAATGGATTTTATTATCTTATCTCATTACTTATCACTGGAAGATGCTGCTGAAGTATAGTGAAGTAAGGTGTCCCCAGAGCATGGAAATACCAGCTCAACACATTAAGAATCCATACCTACCTCAACCATAGGAGTGTCTTAGGAAAGAAGCTCTGAAAAACTATTAGGAGCATTTGAAGTAACCTGGTTATAATTTCAGGGGCGTGTGTCTAGACTGCAATTTTTACTAACCTGATCATTTATATATATATCGTAGAGGATGGCTGGCTTAGAGTGTTTAAAAGTGAAAATCAGAGGGTAAGAATTGTGTTTATCTAGTATTATCTAAAGATTGAGACACTGGATCTGGGATTCATGAGTATCATGGTCACTGGAGAGGGGTGCTATAGGGTAAAGTAAGGATCATTCATTCACCAGGCTTTCCCATGGCCTAGATAAACTATTTCTAAAGGCAATCTAGCCACCCTTTTATGCTGTGATTCTGTGCTCTCCAAAAAACCTTCTGGTTCCAAATGGACTTTTCTGATATTGGAAAGGGAGTGATCTAGATAATAAGCTTTAAATTTTCAGCACAAGAAAGAAATAGCTTCTATTACAACCTTCTAAATTGATATTATGGTTTATGCATCAGTCTCTTATGAGAGTGGCTAATGTGAACCAGACCTTCTGAATCTGGCCGCACTGAAAAAAATCAAACGTCCAGATCTTTTTGAGAATTTGAAGACCAGACTTTGAAGTGGTTTGATTCCTGGAGGGTACTGTGATTGATTGAGTAGTCAGGTGCAGTTGTATATCTCCTTTCTCTAACTTCAACCTTAGATGAGTACTGTATTTTAAGTTGAAAAGAATCATTAAAAAATGATAATGAAGAGAATTTATTAATAGTCTTATGAATACCAACTTGCGTTTTAGTTAGAAATTCATATATTCTGTTGCTTTCTTTTCCTGACTCCCTGGGACCCAAATTTGAAGTTGCTTCCTGGTGTACCATGAATGGTCTACAGGTGCACCAAGAAAGTTGGTCACTGAGTCATTGTGAGTGGGAAGGAGAAGAACCAAGCTCTTTGAATTAGCACCTCCAGTCTAAGGACAGCATCCATGTTCCCCTGTGTCCTTATTCAAATATTGTTTGCAGTGTGTTGTGACATGACAAGAAGGTGAGAAGCACTTGTAACTAACCTTAACTCATGGGAGAAGGGGAGACACCAATATAGCCCAGCTTTCCACCTGGCCATTGCAATCCCTGACGGAGCTGGGCAGATGGCACCACTTTTCTCTGGAATTCCTGTTGGCTCAAGGCCCCAAACGCTAGGTTGTGTCTTCCTACTGCTCCCTCCTACTGCAACAGTATCTGTGTTTTTCAGCTTAGTTTTCCAACATCATTAATTAAACCACTGCTCCCAGGGAAGGAAAAGATATGGGAGCCAAGTCATATTTTTCCCACCAGGAACCACAGATTTCAACTCTGCAAAAGAGCCTGAGGTGTGTCACATGCCAAGAAAGACTGGGCACGTTTGTTGCTCAGCACATGGACCAAAGACCGCTAGACACAATGATTTCAACATATGCCTCTCTGGTATGATTTTTTTTTTTAATATTCTTCTGTTTTTTTTTTATGTTTCTCAGAAATAAGATTGAATGAATGAATGAAAGATACATACATACGTACCTCTGGGGTATCGAAATATGTTATGCAAATTCTACAATGTTTTTATTAGACAGAGTAAGTGTCTGTGGCTGAGGCACCCAGGTTTGTTCCAACAGCTAAACAGGCCTGGAAAAAAGCCATCTTTTGAGCAAAAATTAGACTGTGTCCAACCACATAGAAAATTCTCCCTTGAAAAGGGTTCGCTTTAAAAAATTTTTTTAGCTCCCCATAAATAGAGCCTTATGAGGAGACTTTGCAGAAGCCTTTAGTAAAGTTACAGGAACAAATTAGAACTATATAACTTCACATTGGATAATAATAAAACATGGAAAGGATACCTTTTTTTCTTTATGGAGTTTTCTTTTATCATTTTCTAATTTGGATTATGTATCACTGTTATCTATCTATTTACACTAAATCCTGTAAGTGTTTCATTTTATATGCTGTTTACGAAATGCACAGTAAACTAAATTTTGTGTCTAGCATAGAATTACAGCAGTGATTCTCTTTTTGAATAGTATCAGGGTGAAGTGCCTCTTGCTACCTTCAGTATTGTAGGCCAGAGTAGAAAAAGCCCACTCACACATAGATAACTGTATCTCCAAATAATCAGAAATGTCAATATTATACATAACCTGAAATGAGGCATCTCTGAAAAAACACTGCAAAGTCTCAGTATTCTTCACCAACTTCCTAGGCTCATAGATGGTGAATTCAGGAAAATGGGAGGAAAGCATTGAAGCTATAAAGAGGATGCAGTGGGTGCAGTGGAAAGACCACTTGAAACTAGAACCCAATCATGTCACTTTCAAGTCCAAGATTTCCATTTAGCAGACATGTGATTTTGGACAATTCATTACAACTCACCAAGTACCATTTTCCTCATGAGCGACACAGTATCAAGATAATCATTCCTCTTATCTCACAAAGTTATTGTGACACTCAGGTACATGAGTGTTATAAAAGTACTCTGTAAACTGTGGCTGGAAGGCGTTGTTTAACTTAAAAAAAAAAAAGAAAACAAACTCTGCAGTTCATGGAGCATCTGCTCTGTGCCAGGCATCGGACCAGGATTGCCTGTCTCTGTTCCTCCCAACAATCCCCTGAGGCAGGTGTTGTACCCATTTAAGGACAGACTTGCTGCTCACATTTCCCAAGCCTTTCTTTGCCTTCTTACTGCCAGGTAATCTCATCTCACTCCTCAGATTGCAGCTCTAGGGCTGGTGGGGTTCCTGTGAAGAAACACGAGGCACCTTGCACTTGACTTTCATCTCCTCCACTTTGTAGCATCGTGTGGGTAGCAGCTTGGCGTAGCCATGTAGGAAAAAAAATTGAGCTTATCTTTACCTTTTTTCTTCTACTCTTCCCAAATGTGCCAGACAATGAAAGAAGACCATGACCTTCCAGCTAAGGCAAAGTGAAGCCTGAAATGATGACACAGTCCTCCAAGGCAGTGGCCTGTAGTGTTGCAAATACTTGGGTGCCCTCAGGCTCTGACTTCACCTACTGGCCCTTCTCTGCAGGTGTTTCTCTCTTCCATGGCCTGTCCTTTCATCTTGAAGAGCCTGCTCCTAACATACCCATACAGGACTTCATTTTAGCCTGGGTTCTGGAAGATCTACATTCTAGCAGCCAACTTGGAATATGGGGTAGAGTTTGCTTGAGGTGTTCTCCTCTCCATCCCAAAGGGATCAAAGGGAGATCCATCTGGAGCCCACTTAGTGTCCTTCCAGATGGAAGGTTTGCTTGCAGATGGCACATTCAGTAGCAGAGGAAGAAATCACCCAGCATAAACTCTGTTGCTCTAGGGAAGTCCCTGTGACCTTGTATCTTTCAGTGTTCTTCAGGGTTTGGAATGATTTTGCCTTAGATTTTTCACAGGAAATTTTTCCTCTCCCTAAATCTTCAGACTGAAATTAGGGGGCTTTAGAGAGTTATGGCTTTATTTATATACAAATACTGACCATCTATAACCACAATTGTGGATTGTGGCTTGATTCTTCTTATTTTGAAAGTTTAGATGAATTTAAAAAGCCATTATGAATTCCACAATGAGTTCAGAGGCTTTTGTTGTCAAAATGACACCTACCAGATGCAAGCTAATACTTGGCTGATCCTAAGAAGTAGACCACTTTCAGCAAACCTGAGCTGCCCATGATGTATCATCAACTTCACAGATGGCAATTTCCACTCTTGAAAAAGGGAAAAAAAAGCACTGAAGTTATAAAAAGGATAATGCAGAGATCACAGGGCTGTGTCTCAGAAGAACCAACGTAGTGGGCTCACCTTTGAGCAAGAGGTAGACACTGGACATTTGGAAACTGGCCTCTTAAGCAAGCAATTTCAGAATGGATACACACTGCTGAACTGCCTCTCAGACTTTCCAACCCTTGCATGGGCTGGAAACTTCATTCAACAAAGAAACAATTGAGGGCCCACTCTCAACAGGCCGTGGGCTTGGAGCTGGGGACACAGGACAATGATGGTAAACAAACTGCAGGTGGGGCCTGGAGCCCTCCTCATCCCTGCTGTCATTGGCCAGGCACCTTTCCTATCCTGATTCTCTACTGAATCAGAGTGATCGGCCAGCCCCCTCCATGCCTCTTGTCCTTCTTCCCCAGCATACACATCCCTGGGATAATGGAAGTTGCTCATTGGAATTTGCACCTCTGCTCTGAACCTGCCTTGTTCCCTATAAACCCCAGTCTGGTCAACACAGGGGACACCTAGGGGCAACCCCAATATACCAGGGAAGCTACGTGAGCTCGCTCACAATCCTCTGGCTGTTGGTCCAGTAAGAGAAGAAGGTCTGGACCTTGGCTCAAGTTCTTGTGGGCCTGGGCCTACAGATGGGCTAATAAGTCATTCCACTTTATTTGCTTTAACTCCTAGCCAGTCAGAGACTAAGCATTCATCCACAGCCCAGCTGCCAAGTGCACTGTGGTCAGGGTGAGGGGATTGTGGGGAAGAGGGCCCTGTGTGTGGCCCACACTCTCCTGAAAGGCCACAAGCTGAGTCCTCAGCATTCCTGGGGACTTTAATTGCAGCTCAGGGGCCTGAAGCCCTTAGGAATGCAGATTCCATAAATTTAAAATTGTGGTGATTTAGATAGGCCTGAAGCTTACATTTGTAATATTTATGAAGATAGGGTTTGCTAAGCAAACTAAAGGAATTCCTGTCTTCTTTTTGTACCTAGCTAAAAACAAAACAACACCCCGAGGATGGGCCAGAGACTGCAGACAAAATTTACATTAATTAAGAAAATAAACAGTTTTCAAGTACTGTGGAACTGTCTATAAACACCTACTCAGGTACAAGCAACTGCAAATAGTTTTTATCTGTTTCTAAGCAAACATCTCAGAGGAACATTTGGTTATTTTATTCCTAAAAGGGCTCGATTTGGCAGACTGATTGCAGTAAAGTCCAGTTCTTCCTTAATTCCAATAGATTTGCTCCTCCTCCCATTACTCTGGAATTGATGAGATTATACTGTGGTTCGAGGGAATCTGTTAGAAGGTGTTTTGAGGTTGTTTAGCTTCTGGACAGGGCTGTTCCTAAAACTATTTTAGACCATTGGTGGCTTATATCTTATCCTGCCATCTATATTATCACTTTTATTAAATAAGGCCACCCTACGAAGATCATGTTTCACTTTTGCAAGTTGCTTTAACCTTCATTGTAATTATGCCCTAGACAGTCCTATTTTCAGTCTGGGAGACTGAGGCCCATGAGGACCTGATGGCTTTGTGCCTCAGAAGCTGCTCACGCTGGATATGGAGCACTTGCCTTGCAAATTCCAGATCATTGTGAAAAGCTACTGACAAACGGCCCCAGTTTTTCCCACCTGGTCATGTAAGCTTCCAAGTGTCCCCTTCTCTCTTGTTAAGCACCTGGGGTCTGTTCTGCCTTCCCAGAGGATTCCCTGGTTCCCAAAGGAGTCAGAACACGGTCTGCTCCTGCAGATGTGGAAGCCCCTGGAGAGGAGAGGGGAGTTTAAGTAAAGGGGGAGGGAAGGAGGAAGTGCCCCCTCCCAGCCTCCTATTCTGGGCATCAGCTGTGCAGTCAGACTAGGGCCAAGATTGCCTTTAGCGATTATGTCCACAGGGACTAGGTGCTGGTCCAGAAATAATAAAGCTAATTTTGGTTGTGTGCTTGTTAATCAGGCAACATGCAGAGCATCATCCTGTCTCCTCTTCACCTCTAGCCATGGAAGTCGGTGGCATCATGGTTCCCATTGTGCAGGTGAAGAGCCCAGTACATAGAGGTGAAGTCACTTGCTGCAGCTCACAGGGTTACTGCAGAGTTTCAGGCCTCACGCTCCTCAGACTTGGGGGCTGCCCAGTGGAAGGAGATACCCAACTATTTTTGACATGTCTCTGAGTCCATCATGGACAATCAGATAAAGGTTTACAAATGTCAGCTCTGTGGATGTGGATTGTTGGTCTCTGTCATTATTTAAATCCTTTTTCCTTTTTTTTTTTTTTGGACATACCCCTTATTTGCCAGAGAACCTGAACCCCTAGATGGACATGGTATACCACCACCATCTCCAGAAACTCTTGTTGTGACTGTTGGCATAACTGAGGAGTGTGCATTTCACAGTTTGAATGGGTGTACCAAAATCCACTGTTTAAAGAAATGAAAAGCCCATCCCTCTGGAGTATTTATTCCCTCAGAAATAATCAGAATGTTAGCAGCAAGTCTGTGGCAGGCACGACATTGAGCACTAAGAGAGAGAGGTGAACATAATGGGCTGGTCCCTCTCTTCTGGAGTTTATAGTCTAGACAGGGTTGGAAAACTCGAGCTGTGGGTCAAGTCTGGCCTAGTGCCTGTTTCTGTAAATAAAGTTCAATTTGGAACCCAGCCATGCTCATCCATTTATGTATGGCCGGTGGCTGCTTTTGAACCACAACTGCAGAATTCAGTCATTGCAGCAGAGACTGATGGCCTGCAAAACCTAAAACATTTTCTATCTGGCCCTTTATGGAACAAGTTTGCCTACCCCTGTCCTAGGGTAGAATTTATTTTTCAAGCCTGGAAATTTTTCTTTTGAAAGAACATGTGTTTATCCCCCAAATGGTCATCCATTAAGGTTCTAATTTACTGGCAAGTTTGCCTCCTATGAAGAAAAGTGGTCATCACTAGAGGACTCAGCAATGCTGAGAAAAACAGGAAATTAGGGTAATAAAGGAAACTTCAGCATTTCCTGAGTGTTTGCTGTGTGCCAGGGAGAGTCCTAAGCAGTTCACAGACATTAACTCAGTTCATTCTCACACTCAGCGGGGAGCACTGTTGTCACCCCATTTGACAGACAAGACTGGTTCAGCCACCTGGCCAAGCTCAGAGCTGGAAAGGGCAGGGCTGGGATGGAAGCGCTGTGAACAGGACAGGGCCGTGGGGTGTGGGATCGTGCTCAAGCCCACTGGGGAAGAGGAGGAGAAGGTGCCTGGGCAGCGACGGCCTGTGCTGGCCTGCTGACTGCTGGGCCTATGTTTAGCCTTAAGAAAATCCTGCTGCAGGAGAGGATGAGCCTCCCTCCTGCTCTGTCGGCTCAGACTCACTCTCTGATGGGAGGCGGCTGGAGCTGCTGCAGTGCGCTCTGGACTTCACTGTAATTAAAGCACTTCTTGGATGTGCCTGTGCCTGATGCCTCTGCTAATGCTCATCTGTGGAGGATGCTTTGAAACTCAGTGAATAAACAACAGAAGCATTGATTCATTTTGCCAGAAAGCGGGAATATCAAGGAGCCCTTCGTAGTTTGTTCCTGTATCACTTTTTTGGGGATTCCCAAGACCCTGACTGGTATGCTCTTGCTTTTCAGCTAACATCCCCTGAATTCGTTCCCCACCCCCAGAATAGCCTTGCCCCTCCCCCAGTAAGGTTCTCTCTACGACATGGAGGCTCCCCTGGGGTTCTTAACACAGAACACCAGGACCACAGAAATCCTAGCAGGGTGACTCCCGTTCCAGGGTGGGGCGGGGTAGTTAACTGAGTTCAGGAAGCATTCATAACAGTAGAGAAGTCTATGTTCCTATATATCTTCACAAACATCATGAAGGCATAACCCCAAACTTTCTTTTTAAACATGGCATAAGTTGACTAAGAGAGAGAGGTGAACATAATGGGCTGGTCCCTCTCTTCTGGAGTTTATAGTCTAGACAGGGTTGGAAAACTCGAGCTGTGGGTCAAGTCTGGCCTAGTGCCTGTTTCTGTAAATAAAGTTCAATTTGGAACCCAGCCATGCTCATCCATTTATGTATGGCCGGTGGCTGCTTTTGAACCACAACTGCAGAATTCAGTCATTGCAGCAGAGACTGATGGCCTGCAAAACCTAAAACATTTTCTATCTGGCCCTTTATGGAACAAGTTTGCCTACCCCTGTCCTAGGGTAGAATTTATTTTTCAAGCCTGGAAATTTTTCTTTTGAAAGAACATGTGTTTATCCCCCAAATGGTCATCCATTAAGGTTCTAATTTACTGGCAAGTTTGCCTCCTATGAAGAAAAGTGGTCATCACTAGAGGACTCAGCAATGCTGAGAAAAACAGGAAATTAGGGTAATAAAGGAAACTTCAGCATTTCCTGAGTGTTTGCTGTGTGCCAGGGAGAGTCCTAAGCAGTTCACAGACATTAACTCAGTTCATTCTCACACTCAGCGGGGAGCACTGTTGTCACCCCATTTGACAGACAAGACTGGTTCAGCCACCTGGCCAAGCTCAGAGCTGGAAAGGGCAGGGCTGGGATGGAAGCGCTGTGAACAGGACAGGGCCGTGGGGTGTGGGATCGTGCTCAAGCCCACTGGGGAAGAGGAGGAGAAGGTGCCTGGGCAGCGACGGCCTGTGCTGGCCTGCTGACTGCTGGGCCTATGTTTAGCCTTAAGAAAATCCTGCTGCAGGAGAGGATGAGCCTCCCTCCTGCTCTGTCGGCTCAGACTCACTCTCTGATGGGAGGCGGCTGGAGCTGCTGCAGTGCGCTCTGGACTTCACTGTAATTAAAGCACTTCTTGGATGTGCCTGTGCCTGATGCCTCTGCTAATGCTCATCTGTGGAGGATGCTTTGAAACTCAGTGAATAAACAACAGAAGCATTGATTCATTTTGCCAGAAAGCGGGAATATCAAGGAGCCCTTCGTAGTTTGTTCCTGTATCACTTTTTTGGGGATTCCCAAGACCCTGACTGGTATGCTCTTGCTTTTCAGCTAACATCCCCTGAATTCGTTCCCCACCCCCAGAATAGCCTTGCCCCTCCCCCAGTAAGGTTCTCTCTACGACATGGAGGCTCCCCTGGGGTTCTTAACACAGAACACCAGGACCACAGAAATCCTAGCAGGGTGACTCCCGTTCCAGGGTGGGGCGGGGTAGTTAACTGAGTTCAGGAAGCATTCATAACAGTAGAGAAGTCTATGTTCCTATATATCTTCACAAACATCATGAAGGCATAACCCCAAACTTTCTTTTTAAACATGGCATAAGTTGGATGACAGTCTGGGAAATTTGCTCTAGCTGGGGCATCGGCCCTATTCACAGGACCTTGTGGAAATGTAGTTTGCCATAGGAACATGTCAAGGATCGTCACTGTGTCTGCCATGAACTGGGACAATTGGAAATGGGACGTAGCCTTGACTGATGTAGGAAATCAGAACCATCCCAGTAGCCCTCCCCTCACGGAGCTTATGTTCCATAGCGCCATAGTGCCTTCTGAAAATGAGTCTTTGCATCCACTATCCCTCATAGCTAAAGGACCTATGCCACAGGTACATACAGTAGGACCCTCACCGAATGGGTTTTCCAAGTTATTCCTTATTTCAGACATCAGCCAGAGTTCTCTCTTAACCTTGATATAGCGATAAGTATAACAAACAAATGTATACAGTCTCTAAAATATGCATGGAAGTATAAAAAAGCAAAACGTGCCTACTTTTAGTTCTGTCAAGCTATTCACTCCATAGAATTATGCATCATAGTTCTCACTGCTTTGTAAATTCCTTGGGAGGCCTTGCATTTCATATGCAAGTACTACCAGCCCGGCATTCCTACATTTAAATCGCCTGTCTCTATGGAATTAGCTTGACAGCCAGCACTGGAGAAGTTAGCAGATAATTATGTCTTCCATAAGATGAAGTTCTGTTCTAAAGAGCGAATGTGGCCAAGACACCAGGTATATTTTTCTCTTTCTTTGTATGTTGGCCATCTCATGCCAAGACATATTCCAAGCCGACCTTGTGCTCATGTTTCTCTCTTTTATGAGATGGCTTTATTCTCTCAGAGCTCATTGGTAACAATCAAAATGAAACTATAGATTTCATTTATCTCCAAGATTCTATTTGGTACCCACTTTGGGACTTCTGCATCATCTCTTCAGAAAGAAGTTTACAAAAAGTAATGATCTATCTTGTCATCTGCTTTTCTTTTCTCAGCTCAAAATAATCACATTAGCAGGTAGAAAAGATTCAAGCTTTCTAGTTTAAATTTGTGCCAAATTGATTCAAAGTTAACATTTTTTAAAGGGTCATCTAATTAAATCTCAAAGGGCTCTTGCTAATGCTGATTCCTCCAGCTACTCTGTCAGTCTTTGAGAAGCTAAGGAAGCAGGTAATAAGAAGGGAAAAAAGGAGGGAAAAGGAAATCAGAAGATAGATTAAATTTATGCCCTCTGTGTGGTATCTTTAATATAGGAAGTATTCTTTATCAGTACTTGAGAAAAGACATTATTTGGGAGAAATAGAGGGCCTCCTGCAATTACAGCTCATATATATCGTAGTGGTCTGCAGGGTGGCCACTCATGGCTGTTCATGCTGAGCACGGCCCAGACTGGGGACACCGTTCCTGTCGTGACCTATGTGTATGGGTCTGATGACTGACATTCCTTCTTTGACACTGAATCCTGGTCCCTCGGCTATGATCTGCACTCAGTCCTCCAAGTGGGTCTTTCATAGCCACTCTAGTTATCATCCCAGTCGGTCTCAGTCAGCTTCCTGAAGCTGGGTGTCCATCCACACAGTTCGCTCCATTTCGACCTGGGTGCCCCCTCTGTCCCTGGCAATGCCTGGGGATTCTCAGTGCAGCATGGCTCCCAGCCAGGACTCTGCTTCTTGGGCCATCGATGGATCTGTGACTTATGTTTTTATTTCCAGTTAGATCCCTACTCCCGACCCCAAGCTTTCCTGCCTGTCTAGTCCTCCTGGATCCCAGGTATGTCTGGAAATACTGAGAAGCTTCCCAGAATCCTCTCCTTTGGAAAGCAGAGGATGGGGGAAGAGGAAAGAAGAAGGGAATACTAAATTATCTCCACAAAGATGAAAACCCCTCCCATTCTGGCACACCTTGTTAATAAGTACTGGTCTGGCCCTTAACAGAGTTTTCATCATGGAAACTG